TACCTTTAATGCATTATGGAAATATCCTGTTCTGATTCCATATTTCTGCTTTTTGCCTATTTGTATATAAAGTCTGTTACTTGGTACAAGAGAAGGGTTCCCTGTGTATTCCACCTGAAGCTAAACAGAAGCTTCTGTTCATGTGGACAAACAAGTTTTAAAAGAAGCAAGATCCCAAATGACTTACAGAATGTATATGTGTATGCGGACTTAAAAAAATTTCAGGTGTAAAATGTACATTTCAAAACACAATATTTAGATAAGCTTTCATTCATCAACTGGTAAGTCCTTAGTTCAGAATTTCATGCTTTCCAACTAACAGTTCATGGCATTATTGCTCTCAGATTCCACACCAATGGGTGTGGTATAGATAATGTAGATAGACCCCCAAAATGCATTTCATTAAGTCTTTGGATTTTGTTAGGCATTGGTATCCTCAATTCATGCAGATCTTAGCAGGTAAGTGAAAGAGGAACTAAAATTTGATTCCCCCCTGCCGGGGTAAGAAAAGTGAAACACTTTTTTTGTTTTCCTCTGGAAATTTTCCTTATATGAAAGGGAGTTTCTGCAGACAGAAGAATGCCCTACCCCCCGTCCTGAATACATAAAAAGGAAAAATTAGCAGTGTTGCAGAGCTCAGAAAGCCCAAAGGAAACAAGTCTATCACCTTGTTTTCATCTCAGTGTTATTTTTCTTCCAATCCTGCATGCTACTCTAATGCTAATTTCTTAATTTCCTATTTCCTCATGCCTAAGGCTGCAAGAGTAGAGCCATGGGGTCTTACTGATTGTTCAGGTAGCTACATGAATTGCCTTTTATGGTACATTTCTGTATCCAGTGGGTTTTTAGTTAGCTGCAAATTGAAATTTGTGTGAACACTTGAGGTAACAAGTGTAAACAAGCTTGGTCTGATGGCCTGTCTTCCTCTTCACAGCATCATCTTCCTGGAGTTTGCATCAAACTTGTGATGTTGCAGATACAATCTATCACATTTGTAGGGGATGGTAGGAAAATCATTTTGCTTCTAAGATACAGTGGCTGATGGTGCCATTGAAGGGGATTTAAATGGCAGTAATATGAAATTACAAATGCCTTGCTTAGATGCAGCAGAAGAGGCCTGTGGGATTCTTGCTTCATGAAAAGGACTGTGATAAAGAAAACAATGGAAATTATACGAGGGAATGTGGATAGGTGAGCGCAGACCTGGAATTCTCTTTTGAGATCCCTTTTTCCATAGGAAAGTACCTATTTAGATATGACTTCAGGCTGAAAAGTGTATATGATTTGGAAAAGAGGATATAAAGGTTCTCAGTCTTCTGCATAAAAGCAGCATAAAAAAGAACAGGATAAGAATTTATTTGTGATATGCAGTAACGGAAAACAATGTGTGCTTCTGGAAACGTTGTTAGGCAACGTATACAGAACACAGGAACTTTTTTTCCATAAAACAATCAGATTTTGGAATTGTTTACATTTTACAGCTCACTGGAAGTAATAACAGAACAAACCATATTAAGATTCCAGAAAGCTACCCAGAATAGATATATATAGGATTAGATGTGCACTATAAAAAATTCTGGCTAATACATCACCAGTGATAAAATTTCTGCAACTTTGTTAAAAATGTTGTTGACAGTGAGAATAAGAATAGACTTCAGCTTCCTGTTCCACAGCTATATGGGCTCTGCAATGCTAATAGAAGTAAAATGTAATATTATAAAATATATGTTTTTGTCACTTAAGTAAGCACGTACGAGTGTGACTAAACGGAAGGAGTGGATCTGCTGGTAGAAGGCGCCATATTTACATAGTAACATTTCAGAGTAGACTTGCTCTGTAAGAGAAACGGAGGACCAGCTTTCCAGTGGTTCCTTTTAAAGGACAAGACATTCATGATGATAATCTTTCCATTTCATGCTATAACAGTTCTTCAGTATTAACAAAGATCCTCAGAGTAGTGACCGAAAGAAATGGACAGCGTACCATCACCTTCACTTTTGTGGATACTTCTTTTACTGACAGCTACCTCAATTGCTTCAAAGTAGGAATGAAGCATAGCACTGTGACATCAATCTGCCTTGACAACGTGGTTATGGTTCTGTTGGTCAAACTAAAAAGGACGGACTAGCTTGGTAACCAAGTAATCAGTGTTCTGCACTTCAATGTGGGAGATCTGGGTTTGATTCCAGGTCGCGCAGTCTGGACTAGCCAGAGTTGGGAGTCCTACAGAGATGGTATGCTTAGCTCCTGGGCAGAAAGGGATACTGGTAGCACTCAGGACTTGTCTTCACGTACAGTGCTACACCTTTAATGCTTTAGTGAAGACGCTACTATGCCAATGGAAGAGCTTCTCTTGTCCGTGTAATTAATCCACCTCCACGAGAGGCAGTAGCTCTGTTGACTGGAGAAGCTCTCCCATCGACATAGCACTACCTGCACCAGGGGTTATGTCAGTATAACTATGTTGCTCCAGGGTGTAGATTTTTCACACCTCTGAGTGACATATTTATACTGACATAAGTCTGTAGTGTAGACATGGCTTTAGTAATAATTGCTAATTTAAACGTAGCATTGTCAGACTCCAAATAAGTCTTGGCCGTAGAGATTAGGGGTGTGCATGGGACATGGGAGATATGAAATTACACATCAGTAATTATTATTGTTTGTTTGTCTTTTGGTAGCCCTCAGAAGATAGGGCCCTGTTGTGCTGGCCACCATACAAACATATAACCAAGAGATGGTCCCAGAAGAGCTTACAATTCAAGGGTATGATCAAATACAACAGCTGGATAGATGGGAAGGGTGAGGATGGGAGAGGAGCACATGTGCTGGCCGCCCTTCCCGCAGCCCCCATTGGCCTGGAGCGGTGAACCGCTGCCAGTGGGAGCCGCGATCGGCCAAACCTGTAGACGCGGCAGGTAAACAAACTGGCCCGGCCCGCCAGGGGCTTTCCCTGAACAAGCAGAGCCCCTAGTTTGAGAACCGCTGATCTACAGTATAAGGAGATACACAGCTGAGCAGAAGCAGCAGATACTTAACCAAACCAGGGGCATAGTCACTGGGACCATTCTCATTAACTCTTTAAACACTTGCTATTGAAAAAAAAGAGAAGAAATCTGGCAAGGGGCTATTTTTTGTAAGCTATTTCAAGGAGCATGATAATCAGACAGTAGTAGAAGGGTAAAATAATGAACATGAAGGATGTGTAGCTATTGGGGAAGGGAAAGATTTTATTTAGTGATAATGTAAAATGGAAGAGCTTTTTACCTAAGAAAGTATCTCTCACGCACTGTATGTTTTCAACATTAAAATCCCTTTTCATAATTAATCAGCCCTACTCTTCACTCTATAAATGGACATCCCTCTTTTTGCATTTTTCTTTTCTGTACCACCTAAAAGATGTCTTTTTTAAAATGTATGCATAGGTCTTTTTGGTAGTGTATAGCTGTGTGCCTGTTTAATTCACATTTGATTTAGTCCTGGATTTTGTAGAAATATTAGTTCATTATGAAAATACCAAGTTGTCTGCAGTGATACGATATGTTAAGTAAATATACGGCTAATTAAGATGAACATTTATATAGAGATATTTACTTCATGGGAATTACAGAAGGCAATAACCTCTATTGGCATATCACTTTTTAGGGAGTGTCTGCTTATATTTTTAAATTATCATTTTAAATGATTTTGTTTACTGTTATTCTGGCTATGGCCAAATAGGAAGGTTTTCAGCTCTCTCCAAGCTGATCTGATTCTGGATTGTTTCATCTCCTCTGGGGCCTCCTACATTAGGGAACCTGATCCATTTATTGCTTTGAAGATCATAGAATTGTAGGACTCAAAGGGAACTCAGAAGGTCTTCTACTTCAGTCTCTTGCACTCAAGGCAGGGCTAAGTGTTACCTAGACCATCCCTGGCAGATTAAGCCCTTACGCTGGCCTCAGAAGTCAATTGGGAGCCAGTAGGACTGGAGCACAGACTTGATGTGCTTATAGTGGCCTGAACTTTGGAGGAAGTGGGCAGCTGCATGGTGTGCATTTCACTGTTTCCATGTTTCAGATACAGTGAATTACAGAAATTAAATCTCGAGGTGATAAATGCATGGATCTTTGGCCAGGTCTTTGTCCAGCAGAAAGGGGTGCTATTTCTTAATGAGCTACAGGGGAAAGACACTTTTCATTACTGATGCTACTTGGTCATCCCAGCTCAATGAGGAATCAAAGAAGATCCGTAAGGCTTTGCATAATTTTGACAAATGGGGGCTGTATACTTTCAGTGGAAGACATGGCACAGCGTCTAGATATTTTTTCAACCTGTATCACTTCAGTCTTGCCTTGGTTGAGTTTGAGGCAGCTGCTGTATGTCTTGTAGTCATTATGACATCTTAGTAGTGGTAATGGTTATATCGGTGGAGAATGATGTATTCATTTGGCGGTTATCAGTGATTGGTAGTGGAACCGCTGTCATCTCACTGTCTCTTCAAATACTCTCATATAAAAAAGAAGGGATATTAAGGACCCTGCAGTACCCTGCAAGCTTCCTCTTCAGGAAAGAGGACCAGGAGCAGTTACCCATCACCACTCTGAGGGTTATGCTAGAGAGAAATGATTGGAGTCAGAGCAGCATTACTACATCTACTCCATTTGTGCCTGGTAGGTTTATTAGCAGTACCTTGTGCTCTACTGTGTAAAAAGTTGCAGAGAGAGTGAGGTAGAGTGAGCATAGAAGATGACAGGGTATTCCATTCACTCCTTAGTCTCCCTGTTAAGATGACTGGCAAGGTACCATTGAGTGACTATTTTACTGATGAAGCTGTAATAACTACCAGCCTAGTGTATTTGAACTGGTGCACTTGAAGTGAAAAGTTCCATATTCATGTTTACTAGTCCTCCTGTGTTTTATCATTTAAAGTGGTTTTTTTGTTGTTGTTGTTGTTTTTTTTTTTTTTGAGGAGATCTTCAAGAGTACAATTTCTGTTTTACTCTTTTTATTGTTTGCAGGTCTCTAACCTCTATCTATATGACAGCGTGCTCATGTTGGCCAATGCCTTCCATAGAAAGCTGGAAGACAGGAAATGGCACAGCATGGCAAGTTTGAACTGCATGAGGAAATCCACCAAACCTTGGAATGGAGGTCGATCCATGTTGGAGACTATTAAGAAGGTAAGAGTGGACAAGGTTGGAAGCCAAATGTGCAATAAAATCTCCAAAAGAACCAAAGTACTCCGATTTTTTCTTTCAGAGGAACTTCTCAAAAATGATTTAACCTTGATTTTAAGTTGTTATTAATGAAACTGTGTGGTCATGAAGGTGTTTCCTCTTAAACTGGTGATGTCATGGCTATGTTTTATATAAGTCATGTAATGATGAATAGTCATATAGCTTTATGCATTCCACCAAATGGATGAAACCTTAAGTAGTTGTCAGAGTAGACCATGGATAAGATGTAAATTCCTTAGCAAAGCTGCTAACATGTTTGGCTTTTAGGAAACAAGAGGAAAAATGGTGCATTGTATAATCTAATATCTTGATTCGGATTTCAAACTACTGTAAATCTGGAGTAAATGCTGAGTCCAATTCATATGCACTCTTTCTCACTATGCCCTGGACACACACCCCTTTCTGACAAAATGTTCATTGAAACCAATATGTATCAGTGAAACAGCATGTGTTGGTGAAATTTCATTTTGGTGAAAATGTTCCAACCAAGATTAATGACACCACTGTTTCATTGATAATTTAAAGCAAGGTTAAATATTTTTTTAGTTACGCCACTGTTAAACTGGCATGAGCTTTGTTCACTGAAGTTTTAATAACACTAAAAATACATTGTTTTCAGCCTGACTTAGTAGCTCTTTTTTTCTGAGCCTGAAAGTGGTGGCTTTGTGTTGTACACCGGAATCTAGACAAACTCAATCATGTTACAAGTGTTATAGTTTCAGATTCAGCTAAGGTTCTGTCTACTTTTCACTGGTGGCTCTCCTTGTGTAAGTTAAAGATCCCAAGGCATTTTTCAAAACGAGTAGTACATGTGTCTTGGCTAACAGTCTCTTTCTCAGGAAGGTCGTATATTTTGTCTAAGGCTATGTGTGAGCTATTGCAGAGCATATCAGGCCTGCACATTAATTTAATTGCAAGCATTTGCAAGGCATGTTAGGATACCTGGAGCATGAAAGGTGCTTTATAAAAATTGTATTCTAATATCTTTAACATTGTTTCCTTAGGGCCATATAACTGGGCTCACTGGCGTTATGGAATTTAGAGAAGACGGCTCCAACCCCTATGTCCAGTTTGAAATACTGGGCACCAGCTATAGTGAAACATTTGGCAAAGATGTGCGGAGGGTAAAGATTCAGTTTTTTTCCCCCCCCCTGAAAAAGAGAGAGATCCTGTTTATCTGGGGGAAAATGCTATCATTTTAGAAAGAATGGAAGAAGTTCTTTTGCTCACAGTACAAAAGTCACTTATTACAGAAATAATATATTATAATATTTCATATACTTAAACCTTGAAAGATAACACTTTTATGCCATCAGAAGGGAGGCCTGCAAATTGTTCTTAAATGTGCAGTATTCCTTAATATATTCTATAGTGATGCGGTGAGGATAATAGTGAAGACTTTCAGGTGAATTATAATATAATTGGCATTACTGAGACTTGTCCTAATCAGGAAACTAACTGGGATATTAAATTACCAGAACACATAAAGCCTTTTGAAAGTACAGTCTCTGTAAGAAGCTGGAAAACTGGAGTAGGTATAGTAATGTGAGAGGAGGATGTTATATTTGAAGACAGGAATGACATCAAAACTAGCTAGTGGAGCAGAGACCGTTTGGAATGAGATGGGAGATAGGACTGCTAAAAAATGAGCATTAATATATGCTGCCATAGGATGAGAAAGCTTAGTAGGAAATGTTCATACAGATGGAGGACTGTAAATTAAGGCTAGAACATGAATAGGAACAGTTGATTTGCATTGGCTTTGACTGAAACAGAAGCTGAAAAATGCCCACATAATAGGTATATATAGGGGTTTCTGTTAAAATATTGTTTTTAAATAATTCACATTACCATGGTATTTCTTATACTGTGCAGTGCAGAGCAGAGCTGGGAGATAAATTGATTTTTTTTTTCAGTTGGGACAGCAAACCAAAAAATCAGAAAAAAGATTTGGTTCAGTTCAAAAAATATTTGGAATTTGTCAGCAAACAAGGAAAGTCTGTTTCGGGCCAGCAAACTGACTGTGAGCATGTCCCCATTTATTACCTTTAGCTCAGTGGCTAAAACACATGCCTGGGAAGTGGAAATCCAAGTTTGAATCCCCACTCTGCAGTAAGGATTTGAACTCGGATCTCCTCTGTCCCAGATAAGTAGCCCAATCACCACACTATGGGTTATTTTGGGTGGGCTTCTCTCAATCTCTCCTGATGGAGTTCTTCCACCTTGCCAAAGAGAGGACTAAGGCCTGGTCTACACTGGGGGAGGGAGGTGGATTGATCTAAGATACGCAACTTCAGCTACGAGAATAGCATAGCTGAAGTCGACGTATCTTAGATCGACTTAGAATCACTTACTTTGCATCCTCGCAGCGCGGGATCAACAGCCGCCGCTCCCGTCGACTCCGCTTCCGCTTCTCGCCGTGGTGGAGTTCCGGAGTTGATGCCAGAGCGATCGGGGATTGATTTATCGCGTCTACACTAGACATGATAAATCGATCCCCGATAAATCGATCCGGCGGGTAGTGTAGAGGTGGCCTAAGAATGACTCTATAGCCTGATGAAATTAAGGCACTCGCCTGGGAGGTAGGAGATGTGGATTCAAATTCCTCTTCTGAATCAGGCAGATAGAACATTACAAGTTGATAAAGAGGACAGATGTATACACATGGTTTGCTGGCCTGGGAAAAGTTTTTTCCCCACCGCATTCAATTTGATTAAATTTCCAAATAGTTTCAGTCAACCAAAAACTGCACTTTTTGGTGAATAAACTTTTTGTCTGAAAAAGCAGAAGTGAGTAAAGAGACAGGATTTCATAGTGGCTCAAAGTTTACAAAATTTTAGTTTTTTATTTGTCTTGTTTGTTTTTATTAATCCAAATTTCATCTCCCTGAATTTCTCTAACGGACAAATGAATAAAGGTACACATCTACAGTCTTACTTAAAAAATATTAATTGAAACAGAAATGGCCAGAAGTTGTCTGAAGTTTGTCAGGCTCAGCAGTAACATTTTGTGTTTATCCATCCAGATTTTCAAACATTCTCCTCTAATTTTGGATGCCCAATTTTTGAGATACCTTAAAGGAGTCTGATTTTCAGAAAGTCAATAGGGCTTTGCAGAGGGAGCTTATGTCCTGAAATGGTCATTAAAACAGAAAAAAAATCATTTCAATGTATAAGGCTGAAGGATTAGATATTAAACTTCCTACTTTGCTAGGAACTGTCTCTGAAGAATTTAGATTAGGGTATGAACCCTCTCTGTATTCAAGTGGGTAGGAAAAGGTTACTTTTCTGTCTACTTTACTGCATGTTCCACACTTGTTTTCCTTGAAAGAAGGAATCCTCTCCAAGTCCGCAGCTGTCTTCCTTTTGAAATCACTCCATGTCACTAATGGAAAATTAAGGTCACTTTGGGAGGCAAAAATGGCTGTTGAGCAGAGCACAAAACTGGGTTGGGAGACCTGGGTTCCATTACTGTCTCTGCTACAGATTTCTTCAGTGACATTGAGCAAGTCACTTAACTTTATGCTTCAGCTTCTCTCTCTGTAAAACTGGTATTACAATGCTTACCCCTCTTGAGAAATACTTTCAGATCTTTGGATGGAAATCACCATGTAAGTGTAAATGGTTATTTTTATTATTTACATCAGTTTCTGCCAGCATACATGCAAGAGTTCCTACAGTAAATTGGAGCAGAACAAACTGGCTTAACTTAGGTGAAATCCATGCACCCTTATAATGACCAGATAAGGTTATTCATAAATGATTCTAAGACAAGAAAGGAAATATTATCTGACTAATTGGATTGGGGAAAGATGATGATGTACAAATAGGATATAACAAGGCTTCATGTTTGATCTCCTGATTTGTTTATATGAAAGATTTCTAAGTTTATAATTGATATTAAAGTGAGAGGATCACGTAATAATTTGGGACAAAACAGTTAGACGGAGGAGTGCTTAAGTCTACTCAGACACCTTGATTGTTAATGAACAATGGTATCCAGTGCAAAGAATGTAAGAGGATATATTTCTGAAAGAGAGGAACTCTGTGGAGAGCTGCTTATTGCAACGTACTGCTTTGAGCTGGAAAAGATTCTGAAAACATGTATTTACCTTTTAGTTTAATGTGTGGAAATAGTAAAGAAAGAGTATCTGACTGGAAATCCTTTGGAAGAGGTGATATTTTTCACAGCATAAGTACTCTAGTATCTGCATGAGTCTGTTATTTTGATTCTTTCTCTTTTTCTTTTATTCTTATGTGACATCTCTGTTACTGGAGGTTTGCAACCAGGGTAGCCCATTCTGTATGATCTTCTGCTAATCTCTTTGTGGATGAATATTCCTTTTGATCCACCCAGGATACCACATTGTCCATCCAAGATCATCTTTTTCTACCTCATGTTTTTCTGCTATCAACTTTCCCTTCAAGTGCTCATAAACATGCATCACCCACTGAACTTGTTAAAATGTGCATTGCAAATCAAATCTTTCCTTTTGTAAGATCTCTGAGAAGTGTTTGCTGAGTTCCAATTATCAGTATCCTCCCCAAATTTTCATTGGCTACTTTGTCTATCCATACTATTTTCAGAATTCTTCTATAACACCATAAGTTGAAGAATTGCAGTTTCCTTATTATCGATTGTTGGACTGTCCATGTTTCACAGCAGTAATTTTAATGCAGACCAGATGTAAGCTTTTAACAATCAGAATTTAGCCTTCAAATTTATGTCCCTTCTCATCAGATTTTTATTCTTCCCGAATGTCTCTTTCATTCTTGCTATTCTGGTGCTGTCTTCGTTATCCAGTCTTCTATCTTCTGCAATAATGCTTCTTAAGTAGCAATAATTTCTCATTTACTGAATGGCTGTGTCATTCACTGGAATCTTGCATGTTTTCCCAGGAACCTTGCATACCACAATAGTTTTTGTCTTGTCCACATTTCACTTTAGACCATATTCTTTACCATATTCATATAAAATCTCCACTAACTTCATCAGACCTTCTTTTTAATCTGCATTGTGAATGTGATTCATCCATTTTCCTTTTATCTTAATACCTTCTTCTATTTCTTCGATTAATTTAATCAAACACTTGCTGTAAATGTTCAATAAAGTTGATGACATTATACAACTTTGTCTCACTCCTCTCTTGAACTCTATTAGATTTTCATATTCATCTCCTATTCCAGTTGAGGTCTAATCAGTGTGGAGTAGAGCGGAAGAATTACTTCTCGTGTCTTGCTTACAAAACTCCTGCTAATACATCCCAGAAGGATGTTGCTTTTTTTGCAGTAGTGTTACAGTGTTGACTCATATTTAGCTTGTGATCCACTGTGACCCCCCAGATTCCTTCTGCAGTACTTCCTGGGCAGCCATTTCCCATTTTGTATGTGTGCAACTGATTGTTTCTTCCTAAGTGGAGTCCTTTGCATTTGTCTGTACTGAATTTCATCTTATTTACTTCAGACCATTTCTCCAGTTTGTCCAGATCATTTTGAATTTTGATGCTATACTCCAAAGCACTTGCAACCCCTCCCAGCTTGATATCATCTGGAAACTTTAGAAGTGTACAGTAGAACCTCTAGTTATAAATACAGCGGGAATGAAGGTTGTTCATAACTCCAAAATGTAACTCTGAACAAAATGTTATGGTTGTTCTTTCAAAAGTGTGCATCTGAACATTGACGTAATACAGCTTTGAAACTTTACTATGTAGAAGGAAAATGCTGCTTTCCCTTTATTTTTTTAGTAGTTTACGTTTAATACAGTATTGTACTGTATTTGCTTTTTTTTCCTGGTCTGCTGCTGCCTGATTGTGTACTTCCGGTTCCAAATGAGGTGTGATTGACTGGTCAGTTTGTAACTCTCGTGTTCATAACTCTTAGGTTCTACTGTACTCTGCCATAAAAATGAACTATTTCAGGGAACATGGAGTGAAGGAATCTTCAGTTTTCTCCTTCCTCGCCCAGTGTCCACCCCATGCATATTTTTGTGGGGGTGGAGGGTATAAGCCTTTGTGACTTACTTGGCATGATATCTCTATTTGCCTCTAGATTTGCCAGACTGGAATGACAGGAAATGCTCTGTTTCTTTTTGCCAAAACAATAAATAAAAACTCCTCAGTTTA